AATTATTGAAAGTTTAATGTGAAATTTAAGACGAAATTTTGCTTTTGGAAATCTTTTGTAGCAGTGGCTTGTTCCATGAGCAGATCTTTTAGTGAATTGAAGAAACTCAAATCCCAGAGGATAAGCGCCAGTTTTCTGCTTGTCCTTATCTTTGATGTCAATGGCAATCCCTTGAGGCTTGTGAAGGAAGCATTCTTAGGAGCTCTGTAGGTCAGAAGTGCATGTCCTGATTCTGATCACTGTCACTGTCACACCTCTGCTCCCCAAAGAGGAAGGGCATATATATGAAAGTTGATGTATGTTTAGGAATGTCTTTTTCTGTAGCCATTGCATCTGCAGTCTGTGTCATACTGCTCAGGGAAAATGTTATTGCCACCCACAGATTCTGTTAGGAAAGGATTGAAAGTTCAGGAAAACAATGGAAAAGCAATATCATTTTTAATTACTTGATAAACTACAGATCAAAGCCTTTCATGATTATAATGTTAATGGAATGTCATGGTTACAGTACTTGTGTCATTTACAGAGAGAAAACCTCTTTCAGAATTATAGTAGAGAGAACCCAGCCTTGTTTGTTGTTAGATGACAAAGTTGTTACAGCCTGGTGCACAGTTTTTGTATTTGACATTCTTACTTGTTAAATAACTAATTTAAGGTGTTCAGTTGAGTTTTGCAAGTATGTACTTTTCTTGTTTTATGAAGAGCAGTTCTTAATTACATTCTTTAATTTTCCATTTCAATTTTTTTGTTTTTTCCCATTTGGCAAGCATTTTAAATCATGACCTGAATAATTTTATATGCTCTCTCTCAATATATCCTGAGATAATCACTTTAAAAGTATTACTCCTAATGCCTTTGCTTGGATACAAAGTGCTCATAGTAGGCAACTAAATGGATGTTACATTCCTATTTCACAGGATGCTGGGAAGAAGCACTTACCTGTGAGTTCACACTACAGCAGTGAGAGTCTGCCTCTAACCCATTTAGTTCCTGCACCTTTTTTCATCAGCACAGTTGTCTTCCAGTATCCCCTCTCAGTTAATCATGAGTATTAGTCAGAGTCCTTCTCCTCCCACTTGACTCCCATCTTTTCATTATCAGCTTCTTCTGTTCCATTACTGAGTCTGAGCTTTTGTTTTTAACAAGTGTTACCCTTGCTGCAGTCGATGTTCTCTAACCTCTCCTTACTCCTCATCACTGCAATGTCAAAAGTCCTCCAGGAATGTTTTTCATTTTAGGCAAGGGATCACATAGCTAGAAAAAATTCTGCACAGGGAATAAGAATATAGTGCAAAAATAATATAATCCTTTGTTTTGCCGTTTTTAATGGCCCTTTTCTATGCACACTTAGGTTTGGCTGGCATGTTCGTATTTGCAAACTTGCAATGCAACTGTGCTGCCTTCTTGTCTTTCCACAATTCTAAGAAACCCTTTATTCACTGTTTCCTGGTTAGGGTCTCTTGTGTCATGGAATGGGTAGTGGAGACCTTCATGATCATGTTTTTATCTAGTAATACTGGTTAAAAAGTTATTACTCTATAGACAGCTGCCTATCGTACACAAAAACAACATTGGGAATAATCTGTAAAATATCTTAAGCTAGCTTGGCTTTGGAAAGTCTAAAGCATTTGGAGCAGTGTGAAAGGTGATTAGATCACACCCAATTAAAACAGAAAATTTTTACTAGCTCATGACCAGCTCAGACAAACAGTAACTTTCCCAATGTTAAGAGTTCAATTAAAAATATTAAAAAATATCTAACATTTGTTGCATTCATATTGTACTTAAATAAGTAGTAATGACATCATATGTCAGCCTGAATTTATGACATTAATTGCTATTATAAGTTGCTCTCCTGCCCTTATATTTTCTATACTAATCCTGACTTGTGCTGGAAACGGAATGCAACTATAGTTAGCTGTTAAAACTGTATAGCCAAAAGCAGAAATCTGATTGGTATAAGACTGTATTTTATAAGTATTAGTCCACAGCTTAGAAACAATGTGGTGAAAAGTTCAGGTTTTGAAAGCATGGTGAGGAGAACGCTGATAAAGTTTGTATGTGGTAGACCAATCAGTGTGGGTTAGAACAAACAAAAGTCATGTGTCTGAGTTAGCCAATTGCTCTGTCAGCCTGACAGCATGAATGTCATCAGTGTATATTTCTTAAACTTAAACAGATGCTAAATTGTCCACAGTGTTCTAAGTCTCTCCATGACTGAGCTCTTTGCTGCTTGATAAGTCAACTGCATTTCATCTTGCATGGAGTGAAGTGTCTTAAATGTGCAGTGTTGTGCTCCTTCCATTAAGTTAACAACTGCCCCAGTGTTGTGTGGTACTGTGTAATCCTGTGGATTTCAGTTGAAAGGTTGCCTAGTTTTGACTCTTTAGTTCATCAGTTTGATGTTTGTGCCAGATTTTGTTCTGTTTGTTGAATAAAAAAATGTAGAACACAAGGCATGAAATTAACACAAATATCAGACTACTAAGGAAAAGAAAAAGTTATTAATGTATTCACATAAACCACTTAATTACCCATTAAAATAATTGGCATAATTTTTCATACTATATTAGTAGAAGCATATTCAACAGACATTCAGTGACATCTGTCTGAAATGTGTCCTTCCTTTTTTCAGCTATTACAAAGAACATTCTGTTTAACTTTCATTTTGGTTTGTTTGCATAGTGACAGCAGTCTAAAATAATTTCCAGCTTATTTGCATATATATACTAAATTTCCCTAGTGTCACCAGCTATTTGATCACAGAACCATGGTAGCTGTCCTTGACAGATAGTTCATGCAGAAGCTTATCTCAAGCTGTGTAATGTGAATTTTAAATCAATCTCTTCAGTTTTCTTGGTTTGTATAGTACATGCTCTCAATATACATTATCCTGCACATATAAACTGTCAGCATCAGATGTTTGGAATCTGTATTAAACTTCTATGTAGGATTCAAAACATGTCTGCATAAGAAGAGAACTGGGGATCACCAACTACTATATTTTAGTAAGGAAGTTGCTAATAATTTTCTAGAAAAATGATATATAATTTTTTCATATTGTTCTGAAAATCTTTGTAGAACTGTCATTATTGCAATTACCTGCAAGTAACTATTGGGCTAGAAGAAACTCTTGCAGAAATAAGCAGCATCCATGAGCTGAAAGAATATTGTGCAAAAGTCACGAGGACATTTGCATAGCTCTCTAATAAGAAAACAGACCCATGAGTAGTAAAGACCTGTGGAGGCTTTTCTGTTACTTCCTTGGTAACAGCTGCACAAAGACTGTGAAAGAGGGAAGCTGTCATTGTGTGGGGGGGATCTGGGCACTTTAAGAACTTTTGCTTCTCATTTTTGTCTTCATTTAGAGATTGACCAGAAGGAATGTTGAATGTAAACCCACTGTGATGATTTGAACTGCATCTTCAACTCAAACTATCACAGCCTAGTAGTTTTCTATCTATGTCAGATTTCTCTCAAGTTCTCTAATTCTCTAAATTCATTAATATCTTCAGAATTGTGAAGTTTGGTCTTCATTCAATGCTGGTCTTAAAATCTAAACTTGATTTTCAATTATATTTGCATATGGCTGTCCATCTAGGAACACAGACAGCTCATTCCACTTGTGCTTAGGTGTAAGAACCTAACTTTTCAGAGTCCCTGACCATTGCCATAAAGATCCCCATTAGCCCTTCTCATATGGTACACTGAAGAGAGGACAGAGGGAGCTTTATATGCTGTGTAGCAACAGAAGATAAAGCTGAACACAATTGCTTCTCTGTACAATTGCAGTTCTTTCTTATTGTTAAGCTAATTTAAGACAAGCCTCATTTAGGGAAACCAATCCCAGGTCCTCAAGTCAGAGGTGGAAGAGGCACATTTGTAAAGAGTTATTTGCCTCTGGCTGAAAAAATACAAAGGTAGCTGCAAAGAAAGATTGAACTTCTCTAACACAGCAGTTCATAACAAGTATTAAAGCCCCTGTGAGGAATAGTTTCATACCGTCTGATTGTCATGTCCGACGTTTTTATTGCACAAGTGCTTAAGATGCTGTACTTCTGCCAACACACAAATGAATTCTTTCTAATGTTTGCTAGAGGATATATGGTCAATGTCCTGGTAGTTCATGTGCTTTTGCTGTGGAGTTTTGATCTTGATTTATGCAGTTCTCTGGCTTTATTTTGAAAATATCAGCATTGTCCACTCAATTTGCCATAAGATATTTTAGTTCTAATGGTAAACCTGTGCATTTTATTCCAGTATGTGTTTTCAGGAATGACTATTTTGTCTTAGTTTGAACTCTTAAATCACTGCAGGCACACAAGCACATAGAATATTCAGTGTTTGCTAACTTCTCTTATATTAAATACTGATCAGAAAAAAAATGTGTTACATAAAGATCCTCACTTTCATGTCACATGGTGGCCAGACACAGCAGCTGAAACCCACATTTAGAAATGAAAACATTTTAATATAGTGAGAGTCGATAGACATGCATCAAAGTGAAATGTTATTTTTGTAGTGATCAGCAGGCTTCAGACCTCCCAAGCTAATCATAAACTTTCCAAGCCAATACAGCTAATTTGTTCTCCTGCTGCCACTGGCCTCCAACTCCCTTTCCAAAGGGAGATGTCACACTTGCTGCTAGGTAGAAAATTAGCAAAAGGCCTTCTATTTCTGCTTTTTTCTTTAAGCCTGTTATGTGTGTGATACTTTGGTTGTATATCCAGTGTCTATGGGTGTGTCTTAAATGTATTCCTGAATAGGACTTGGATGAGCTACCTTTTCCTTCTTTCAGCTTATGTTGCACAGGTTACAGCAACCATATGTTCAGGCCTCAACTCTTCCTCTAAATCATGCTCCCCTTTCTTCCTGGAAATGTTAACCTGGGAGAATAAAAGGGGGTTTTGTGTATTTGTCCAGACTATCCAGATGTAGAACATTATGCCCAGTGTTACAAAACAGTGAATTTCTACAAAGTTACACCAACCATTTTTACTTGTGTGGAAAAGGCACTTTGAGATGCAGAACAGGTATTCCAGAGGACAGCTTAAGGTGATTAAGGTTGCCAGATTGCATCAAGTCAGTCTGGTCGGAGCTGCTTTGAATTGGCAGATGCTGTTCATCAGTGTGTCAGCAGGCTGGAGTTGAACAAGATACAGACCCTGGAGGTGCTGGACATTTGCAGTTCTCTAAGAAAAAAAAAAAGGCAGAATTGGAAATAGCACCAACCAAATGAAAGCCAGTCTGAATCTGTACAGGTGATGGTTACAGTTTGGCCCCTGTGCTGACAGAATATCAATTCCTGTGATACTTTGGTAGCTGTATCTGTTACTTCTTACATGTTAAATGAGGCATCCCTGAGTATGCATTCCTTTTGAAGCTTAAATAAGCTTTTTATCATCATGATTTCATTTTTTTCTTCAGCATTCCCATGGCTGATGGGTTAAATAAGCACGTTTTAATCAGTTAAAGAAGAGAGCTTTGCGTGTAGTATGTGCCTATAAAACACTGTAGGTTCAAAGAGCAGATGAGTGTATAAGTTAGACAGAGGACCTTGATACCAAGTACTAAAAGAAAGCACAATTCATCACAGATAGAAGTGTAGAATTTTTATTTTCTCAAAAATATTTCTGAATATCTGTTCAAACTCAGACTTGAATGGAATTTTAGTTGTAAAAGGAAAAATTATCTACAAAGATGTATTGTCATATGATTTTAAAGATTTTGATTTTGCTGTAGTTTCTTTTCCAAAGGGAGACAGAACCAGGTACATTTTTAAGATTTCATAGCCTGTTATATGATAGGAAGTCAATCTAAGAATTTTAAGATTGTGTCTGCAAAAGTATGTCACAGAAGATTAAAAAAAGTGAAATCAGTCTATTTCAGAAGCAGTGTGTTTATACTGCTGCTGTTGTATTGGATTTAATTGTGTGGAATAGGTGGGTTCACATGCTCAATATATTCCTGGGAATTTCTGTATTCCAATGTCCCCACAGACTAAGCAAGTGTATGCTCAGAGTAAACATTGTGTGATTGATGTGAGTAATAATAGTGGTGGTAAACTGGGGTGTGCTAAAGCCTGATGGAATTTATGGCAGAATGCAGAATTGTCATGCATTGCATATAAAGTCTGCTCTAGAGCAAATTCATTAGAACTTAATTTCGTATTAAATTAAGAGTTTGTATTTCTTAAATATAATCCCAATCCACTTTTCTGAACTTGAAAGTAATTAAAAATAAACTTACAGCTCAGAAACTTGTTGCAAATCTGTCAGTTATACACATACTGTACAATGATGCCAAGATGGGTGCAGCATGCAATACATTCAAAGGTTTGAATTACAAAAATGTTCACCATAGTCTTACCATAGCCCATGTTAAAACAGAGCTAACTTAAAATAATTTTTCAAAACTTCTCTGTAGTCAACCGATCACATCTGATAAACTAAAAACAGACCTTATTGCAGAGCAACTGTTAGCTGTCTTTTCTCCTTGTGCTTTAGGAATTACATTCATGAGTTTGACTTCAAATTCTTAGTTGCTTAAGTGCAAGAAGAAATTTTGCTTTCAGCACTTTTTTCAGAATCACACTTCTGAGAATTTTCTTTGTCCCTTCAAGTGTAAGATGCACCATCCTGTAACTGATCGAATTGTCCTGTTTGCTTTCAGTTTGGAAGAGGAATGTTAAATTAAGCATAATGGGGATGTCTTTTGGATTAAAACCCTATATTTTCTTCCAATTAAAACATTGTGTTAGAATACTCATAACATGAAATTGCTTAGAGAAGACATTTGTTAAGGTAGGGGGTGTCTATGTGTTGTTTTTTGTCAGCCATATAATGGACAGTCCTTGCTTCACACTACTCTGTCCAATTAAAAAAATAGATTTTTTAGTCTAGCACCCTTTATGGTGCTGCTGTAGAATATTGGCTTGTATATTTCTGTAGGGTTTTGGTTTTTTTTCCTTCTAATATTTATGCAAAATGACAAGGTGACAGCAGCAGACTTTCTCAATTTTAGAATTTGCTGGGGAAGCTATATTTGATTACAAATCTAAACCTATCCATGACTTTTTGTTCCCATGTAAGTACAAGTTGTTTTTGTAACATGGCTATTGTGTGAAGGTGAAAACTAAGTACTGCTGTTGGATTCTCTGTGCGGGTCTCTGTTTTGAAAGCCCTGCTTGCCAAAGATGTTCTTGTACTTAAATAAGCCTTATGGGCAGGATAATATTGCAAGAGGAATGTGAAGGAGCATTAATATGGCTGAGTGAGGCCCTATATGTTTTCCTTTGAAATATCTTCCCTGCTTGCCAAACCACCTTGGCAGGGAATAGCATGAAGCCTAGATGGGGAATTATGGATGTGTCCTATATTTTTCTCCACGATGAAAGGAATAGTCTGTGGCTCCTACACAGATTGAAAGGCAGTGATTGAAAGTTTTGGGGTGGTAGGACAGACGTACTGAAGGGCCTAATTGATAAAAATACCCTCAGAAGGTGATTGTGCTGTGCCTAATAATACATAGAATAGGTGATCATGCATAGGAATTTCTAAAAAACTTTTCTCTTGTTAAATATATTGTTCTTCCAGATATGCATATGAGAATATTTACTAAAACTAAGTATAGTATCTGACTTTGAATCCTTCACAGTTAAAATTTTAGGAGGAAAAGAAAAAGTCAAGTCTTTTTCCTAGAAAGAAAGTATAGCAACTTGAAATACATTCCTTACTAAACACTATCTTTAGTGTCTCTAGGTTGCAAAAAAATCGTGATAAGTTATGATATATTACATGCCCTAAGAATGAGATTTTAAAAGTTTTTTAAAGATGAATGGCAAGTATTCCCTGGTAACACTTCATAATAAATATTCTCATTCAAAGAGTAGTGCTTGATTTAATTCTGTGTCTACTTTGGCTTTGGATAAGTAGTCATTAGGGTTCCATGGCACATTGAATTTGTTTAATACCATTTACCAACACATTTTAGCCTGGATAATGAAGTATTGTCTTCATCCAGTTGCACATAATGTGTTTCAGAATTTGAAACGTTACATAGTTTGTATTAATTCAATTTCTGGTCTAGAATAGTGTGCAGAATGCTGCACTGCAAATTTTTACCTCTGAAATCTTTCATAACAGAGAAGAATATCAGTTATTCTCAGTGAAAAAAGAAGTCTCTGTATCATATTAGAAAAATTGATTCACTGAGACTGAAAGACAAGCAAAGAGTTTCAAGTCAACCACACATTTTCTGATTAAAAATAAATTAACTAAATAACTATAAAACACCTACTTACTTTGAAGCTGTGAGACACAAAAAAAAAAGTCAGATGCAGGAGGCGGAAGACAACTTAGGGCCACAGGCCCCTGAACACCAAGCCTGGCCCTTTTCCCCGAGAAACAACCATCACCAGCCCAGGTTGCTGATGTCAGTTTGCAGGAGGCGCTTGGGACTGTCAAAGCAGCCACAGTTGGTGGTGTTGGCAGGTTGGGTCTGGCAGGCATCCAGCGCCATGCGGAATTTGAGGAGGCGGCTGGCCACCCAGGGCCACAGGCCCCTGAGCACCAAGGCTGACCCTGTTCCCTGTGAAACAAACCTCACCAGCCCAGGATCCTGATGTCAGTTTGCAGAAGGCACTGGGGACTGTCAAAGCAGCCCAAGTTGGCGGTGGTGGCAGGTTAGGTCTGGGAGGCATCGTGCGCCGTGCGGAATTTCAGGCGGGGGAGCCACCCACCCAGGGTCGCGTGCCCTTGAACAACAAGCGCGGCCCTTTTCCCTGTGGAAGTACCATCACCAGCCAGGATCCTGATGTCAGTTTGCAGGAGGCACTTGGGACTATCAAAGCAGCCCAAGTTGGTGGTGGTGGCACATTAGGTCTGGGAGGAATCTTGCGCTGTGTGGAATTTCAGGGGGCGGCTGCCCGGCCAGGGCCACTGGCCCCAGAACAAAAACGGCGGCCCTTTTCCCTGTGGAAGTACCATCACCAGCCAGGATCCTGATGTCAGTTTGCAGGAGGCACTTGGGATTGTCAAAGCAGTCTGAGTTGGCGGTGGTCCAGGTTAGGTCTGGGAGGCATTGTGCATTGGAATTCAAAATGTTATTCTGATAGTTGAGGTTAAGTACAGATGCTGAAAACTTTATCATTGCATTTTTTTTAAATTGTTTTCTTGGTGCTGGATAAAATGATTCTTAATTATAAACTTGCTTCTGAACTAAATAATGACAAATATGCAAACTTAAATAGACAAAACTGCCGGTGTGGAAATAGTGGATTGCGTTATTTTCTTATTTGTCTCTGGGGAAATTTATGTATCTGTGTGCCTTCATTCTCCATGTAGCTTTCTGACAGTATGGCAAACTGCAAAAATCTTTAAGTGGACAAAAAAGTAAAGATGAGGTAAATATTTTTTTAAATTTTATTTTCCATATTGTTTGTTATTTTTTTGGACGCTTGTTCAAATCCTTTGACATTGTATTTAAACCGGCAGTTTTACGTGGTTTGCAAAATGCCTGTGAAAAAGGTGAACTGAATATAACCCAGCCATGCTACCAGTGGCCTGGCAGGGTTCTAACACTGGTACCCCAGGCAGCTAAGTTCGTGGTGAGTACTATGGCATTGGACATGAGCTAGCACATGGAGCTGTACCTAAAAATAGGTAATACATTAATTGAGAAGTAGCTCATTGTTAGGAAATCTTCCCTGAAACATTGTTGGAAACTTATTTGAGACATGCTCCACACAAGTATGAAATTATTGTATTGAAGAGATTTAGAACTGTGTAGGAAATCTTCCAAAGAAAATCTTCCTTTCACAATGAAGGAATTTTCTGTGGGTTTTACTCACTTGGTTCTTGTTGGAATTCTGATTGTTTTCCAGCCATGTGATGGTGTTGGCTGCACAGATGTGGTTTTACAACCAGCTTTCTTAAGCAGTCTGGTTTTATGTCTCTCGATGGGCCTTTAAGATTAGAACTGGTATTATTGCTAGCTTTAACCCACGTAGACAGTCTGAGTATAGGGATAAAGTAATCAGCACCATTTGTGTCTTTCAAAATGCACATGAATGTTTCCTCACTTCCTTTGTTCTAGGTGACCTTTTAAGAAGTATTTTTTTTTCTTTGTGTTCCTATTAGAATTATTTCTAGATTTATTTACACTTTGTTACCAGCAAACAATATTTCCAGAT